CCGGCCCTACATAGGACAATATCATACAACCTTGACCTAGGGCTTCTCAAAAGGGGACTCTCCCTTTTCTCCTCTCTTCCCCTCGTTCTCTCTCCTTCCTATCACCTCCTTTGGACCTTCGGAGACTTGACCAACCTATGTTACCTTACCATCGTACCAACAATTACATCAATTAATAAAATACCCAGATATTGATAAATGAAAGGTTAGATAAATTATAATATATCTCAAAATATCTTACCCTTGTACATGTGGAGGAATAAATACTAATCTCAGATCCACATGGATTCAACCCTCACCCTCTTGATTTGGATAAACTCACTTTATCATTTCTGTTTGGCCGAACCTGTCTTGACACCGAAACATATTACATTGCTCTTTTTGGGTCTGGACACCCCAGTAGTCTGTTAGAGAGATAAGATGGAACTGAAGCTCTGACACTGAAGAAATATCATGAATGCTCTCTAAATGTCCTTTAGATGCAAGGAAGTCGGCCAACTGATTACCTTCTCTAGGTTTTGGTAATTCTAATTGCAATTGTGGTTCTGTTTTATGTTTGCCAATGTTCCTTTATTTTTCTAAACTTCATTTTATTGCTCTTAGAGGAAGTAGGTCTTTATGCCCAAACAAAACGCAGGGATCGATATTTGCTCATTCTACTCCTATTGTTAACAAGAATATTAATTTACAACCTCTAGTCCAGCATCTCTAAATCAAAGTTCTGCTGCTGTTCTGCTTACAACATAATAATGGTTTAGACTCCCAAAAAAGATCATCATATAGTTCACATTTTCCTATTTTCACCTGAATATTACCAATTACATCTAGTGGCTTTGAAATTTTATATAGCTTATTTTCTTTACATTAGTAACTTACATTGAAAGGTCCAAACTTATAAATCAGTTCAGTGGACAAGAACAAGAAGCCATTTCGTGACTTGCAAAAATTTGACCTTATATCGCTTTAAAATTTAGATCAAAAGAAAGAAAATTTTGTGTAGTTTTAACATTTGAGAAAACAGAAAAACAAGGAATTTAGTCATTTAGACTTGAGAAAGAACTTGTTGCAAGGTTTGAAGTCTGAACTGTTGGCCTTGGTTGTCATATAGTCTGCATTAACTTACCTATTAACTTCATTAAGAAGAAATTGGCATGGGGTTTCTGTTATAATCAATTTTGAATTAAAATTACCAGTTAAATATTTATACTCATAAATGATTATCATCCACTAACTATAGCAGCATCTATCTTGCCAGGTTGCAGGGTTTAGACTAGAATAAGGGATCTTCAATGCTCTAATAGGATTTAAATTTTAAAACAATAATAAGTTGAATTTCAGTGAAACTCGATTTGCATAGAAAAGAATCTGAATTTGGATGCTTAGGAGAGTATATATAGCCATTTCCCTTTGCCTTAACATTTTCTAATTAATGTTGATTCTGATGTCCATTCAATATGTTGTATTAGGACCATATGGCACAAAGTTCCCTAGAAATCTGGGGCTTGTATAAAAGGACTCCAAGCCCCATATTTGGCTAGCCCATCTATTACCAAATTTAATTCCCTTGGAGTCAAATGTGCCCGAACTGATCTACCAATTGTTGTTTCTCTTTATTTCATTCAAAATGTGAGCCAGTCTTGTGGATAATTTTAATTGTAAATGGATAATGATAACGAGAAAGATGAAGACTTCAAAGCTTTGAAATGAAAACAAGCACGACTTAGATGAAGACTCCAAAGTCTAGTGCCATGTAGGGCAAACATAATAATACATTTAACTAATTAATTATCAAAAAAAACTTAATGCATTTCAATATTTCTAGTGCCCTGTTCAAATGTGCCAAGAAAGGTAGTTTGTTGATATGAACAAAAATCATACGATTTCTTTCTTTTATTAGGAAGAACAAAAATATTCTTTCACTTGATTGCTTTCTACCTTGAATCACAAGAAGAATAGAGGTTTCATTGATCATGGAATGGTTTCTGGTGTATCCGGAATTTAAGGACATTTCTAAGGAATCTGGGCTTATGGTCATCCCCTGAAGTGAATGCTGAAATTTCTCCAACAACATTGTAAAACTAATGTCTTTTATTATGTATTACTCTTTTATGTAGTTTGTTCTCCTGGATGAGTTACGTCTCAGCTGAATCAGATTGCAACCAGTTTTTTTCTTTTAATAATTTTTTTTTTCTCTTGCCATCAAAAAGAAAAAAATTGCAGTCTTGAGGGAACTTTTTTGCCCCTCATCTATGTATATGTTTGGCATCGATGCTGCATATACAGTACTGTTTTCTGTATATGAGTGGGTTGGAAGCACCGCTTTTTGAGAAAACAGTGTCATTTTTTTGTTTGGAAACATTGCTGTCAGGTAGGACATTTCCTGGGGCAACAACAACACCTGTTTGACAACAATGCTCCATATCTATTTTCAGCATTGGTACCCATTATAGGAAATCCACATCACTGCCACATCATGTTCTCGTTGGCATCAATGAGCTCCAAATTGAGAAAATGTCGAATTCAACATTTCCCCAAACCACGCCTTCTCGATTTCCAAGGCATGGTTTGGAGCACCATTTTTTATGGAAAAACGGTTCCAAACATGTTACTGTTTTCTGGAGCACCAATTTTTCCAACGTGATACTGATATATTACCATTTTCTGGAGCAACGACATCGATACCAAACACTGCCATATGTCAACAGCCTTGTACATATCTGTACCTCCTACCCTTGAGTGATTTGTCTTTGATCTTATTGGTGGAGGAGAGAAGAGGACTTTTCTTTTTAGATAATTGATGATTCCCTTTTCTTGGGTTGGAGTCATAGGCTCCTCCCATGTACTTCCTTATATACTTTTGTCATCCTTTTTCTAATACGTACATAGAACTGGAGGTAATGTGCATCTAACTTGGAACCTTGCAATAACATACTAGGATTCTTGCTTCTATTCCTATGCTTTTCTTGTATTAGTGATTAAAGGAAGAAATTGATTATTATGCTTCGATATGAATTCCACTATTTAATTTATAATTTTGAAACCAATGGCATTTGGAAAAAAGTGGTGATAAAGCTACTCAGCATAGGTATGCATAGAAGTGCAAATGGACTAAGTGTAAATCCTCATTTACTTTTGCTTCGGATTTGACCTTTTTTTGTTTGTAAGAATTAAAATGGTGTGGAGTTGTCTTGTGTTGAAACCATCTAAATTTATATATGGGCCCAGGGAAATATTCCACTAATTTCTTTTTGTTTGATCTATAGTATTTTTTCTGTTTGGCATCAGCATCGTCATCGTCGTCATCTAAGCCTCAATGCATAGGAGTTGGTTTAGCTAACATAAGGAGAGGTATTGTTGCATATATTGATATATAAGTTCAGACTTCCTTAAGACCATGTTTAGTTTGATAGAAAATAAGAGAGAAACAGAAAGTTGAGGGAAAGAGAGGAACAAGAGGTCAAATTGAATTTCATGGAAGCTCTATTGGTTCTAACTCCTAAGCCAAAAGGAACTAGAAATGCATTCTTGAATAGGTATTCTATGGATAGTAAGCTTTGTATGGGCCATGCAATTGTATGGGACATTTGCAAAGAGAGGAACAAGAGAAGTTTTCAAAAATAAAAAGACATCATACAAGGCTCTTATGGTTTGGGTTCTTGGCTTCTTTAGCTCTTTGGTTGTCACACCAGAACTAAAAGGGGTATCATATCCAATGTTGATATTGCCCAAAATCCTTCAGTCCTACCAGGGGTATCATAGTTGTCATTGGTTTTCTTGAACCTTATTTTTGTTGTGATTCACAAGTCTTTGTTGTAACTGATGTTTATACAACTTACAGACTAGTCCAGAACTTGCACAAGCGCAACGATCTTAATAGACTGTAAAACCTACCATGCGAATGGCATGGACAAAGATCAATATATAAATAGGGATTACATTGTCATCTTATATAGGGAAATGCATGAATGGGGTCCATTTTAATATTTATTGTAGGTAAATGTGTAAGTGGGACCCATAAGTAATATTTGCTTGTTTGAATGTTTTGCTAGGTCTTGTACATAACATTTAACATGTATGTAAGAGGGACCTACATATATGCTTGCTAAACAATCTTTCAGTCTTTTTAGCTTTTGAAAAAATCTTTAAAAAATTGTTACCAAACAGTCTTTGATATTTGAAGATCTACTTACGAAAAGCTCATCAATCTTTTGAGGTCTTGAACTTTTAAAAAGTCTTCCTAAAAAGACATACCAAACACCTCGGTACATATCTCAACCTACCCTTTTACAATTAAGGAGGATGCAAGCTTTATGTTATCTTTCAAAGAAATATGGAGTTCAATGTTGTGTTGGATTTTATATTCTCCTTCTTTTATTAGAGTATCGTCCATGTTTCTTAACCATTCAAGTTTTGCTTCTAAAATGAAAGGTGACTAGTAGATCCATTGAATGTTCGGCCTTGAATAGTCTTGCCTCCATTAGCACTTGGAGTTCATTTGCTAATAATTAAATGATCCACCATGTGATGTTTTTTAGAAGGATTAATGGCATTGTTTTGAAAACCAGACTGGACTAGATGGTTAAACCATTTGACTCAGAAACCAGTTATGATTTCAAGTTTGATTTTGGACTGGACTGCTTTTCTTGAAAAGAAAAAGTAAAGATTGAATTGGTCAAAGAACCCATAATTTAGACGGTAACCACTAAACCATTTGACCTAGGAAGCGGTGGGTTATGTTTTATGGTATATGGGACATAAAATAGGTTTCCAAAACCCATATCTGACCTAGTATGCCTCATTACCTTGTATTTATTTAAGTTTGATGGAAATTTTCAATATTTATAAATATTTTTATGTTTTTTTATTTTACTTAATTATGATATAATGGGCTGAACCGCTGACCTAGAAAACGCTGACCAAAGCAGTTCCATGGTAATTCTCCATTCTTTATATTTTGCTGCGTCATTTTCGATAAGACACTCTCCCACTACACTCTACTTCTTCGGTTTCTCTCTCGAACCGACGAAGAACACTGAAACATCCACTGTTTCCGATTATTTTGGTATGTTCCCCCTCTTCGGTTTCTCTCTCGTAAACGAGGAAGAACATTCTAACTTCCACTATTTCCTATAATGGTTATTTTCCATTCCGTACATTTCGCTGCGTCAGTTCCGGTGAGACACTCTCCCACTACATTCTACTCTTCAGTTTCTCTCTCGGAACCGACGAAGAACACTGAAACTTCCACTATTTCCGATTATTTTAGTACGTTCTCCCTCTTCGGTTTCTCTCTCGGAAATGAAGAAGCACACTCTAACTTCCACTATTTCCTATTATTTTGATAGCAAATGGAACCAAGCAAGAACACACTAACTTCCACTATTTCCTTTTCTCCTAACCTCTCTTACATTTCTCCCTGTTCAGTTTCTCCCTCAAACCCTCAGTCCTTCGTACCCTATCCTTCGCGAAGACGTTATCTCCGACGAATTGGCCCATTTGAGGATGAACTCTCCCACGAACTCTCCCAACATTTCTTTCACGAACGGGGAGTGCAGTTATCTCGACATCTATATAAATGGGATTTGTCCATGCCTTGGAGTACACAACTCCCATTTCTGAAGCAAGGGATTTTCGAGAGGTAATGTTCTGCCGAATCTTGTTTCAAATGCTTCAAAATTTTTATTTTTAACGGCAATGATTATCTACCAGAATAATCTATCAATGGTAAATATCTTGATTTATTTTTATTGGATTGCAAATGGTTAAATATCTTGCGATTGTCACTTTGTGTATCTTTGATGCAGTTTGTGCTTAGTTTGGCTTTATGTGAAAGCTTTGGACTTGGCTCCTTCTTTTAGGAGTTAGATGACAAAGGTTTGGACTTGGCAATGATTATCTACCAGAATAATGTATCTACCCTTTAGCTTTTGCATTAATAACCATAGACTTGCAAATTGTCCATTATTCTGGTAGATATTCATTATCGGGTACTTGTCAATTAGTTGGGACATGGTAGATCCGGTTCAATTTAACATAATAATTTATAGGTGAGTGGCAAAAAAAAGAGTGGAACATGTTTAATTTTATATATTTTTTCTCTCCATCTAGTGTTCATATACATTGTTTATTTGTTTTCTTCTTTACGATGGAAAATTTCTATGCTTAAATGATTTCGGGTAGCTGGTAATTAGTTGGGTCATGGTAGATCTGGTTCTATTTTTAATATTATTATTCAGGTGAGTGGCCATAAAAAAATTAGTGTAACATGTTAATTTTTGTATAATTGCTTTCTCCATTGTTCATTTACATTGTTTATTTGTTTTCTTTTTTTACGAGAAATGCCACATGAATTTACAACATTCAATTCATGTAAATACAGCAATTATCCCTATTATTATTTGTATTTATCTATTTTAATTCATGTAATTACAACATTTATATGTGAATAATGAAAATATCAGTGATGCAATTGAATCATTTATTTTTCTATTTAATATAAGTTCAATATGGTTGACAGAAATTTCAAGTGATGCATTTGCATCACTTAATTTTTCTGTTTAATGAAATTGGAGTTATTTTTCTATTTAAGAAAATTAAGAAATCAAGTTCCATTATCTATTTAATTTATTGTAATTTATTTTAGGTGTTACAACATTTAGATAGGTTTTCTTTAAGCCTTAAATCATATTTCATTTATTAAATTTCATTCGATAAATTTATTATTTTTTTACTTAGTACATAGATGGACAATATTTAACGAGATGAGTATTTCCTTCCAAAATTTACTTAACTAGATGTGCTCGAAATTGTGAATGTCAACTCCCGTATTCTTGGTTGAAGAAGTCAGGAAGGATTTCAAGGCCTTCGTTCTGATCACAATTGAAGCCGACAATTGGAAATTTATGGAAATGGATGTATTTGTAAAAAGGAAACGGAACAAGATGCAGCTAGGAAGGCGGTCAAGAAAATACTAGAATACTTCAAAATGAAAATAGAGGAGGTGAATTATGAAGAGTTACACTTCTATATGCATTAATGTTCACAATTGGAAAGGGTCATTGATGAATTGAAAACGGAGCTACTGAAACTAAAAAATAGCCTTAATGACACCGGAGTTGTGACAAATGAAGGTATTGATGATGAAGACCCAGAAGAAGACTAATAATATGTTGTAGGAGGAATTTAGTTTGTCTTCTGTTTAGTTTATGGATTATGTTAGAGTGGATCGTAGTAAGAGTGAATGTTAGAAGTGTCATGTTTAAAGTTTCATTAAGAAGGTTGTTTATGTTCTAGGATAGTTTATAATACATTTCCATGTACAAGTTGTTCTTGTTATAGTTATATGAAGTATAAATATTATATTTAGTTGTTTTTCTTTCTCTAATGTTGTGTTATCTCAACACATTATGCGTGGGCATTGGGATTGACATGTACATCAAAAGCAGTTTCGGATCCAATGGTCGATCTATGGATAGAAAGCTGGAAAGGTAGAAAACTAATTACTTGTCAAAAGGGGAAATTAATCTTGATAAGAAATGTGTTATCATGCTTACCAATATACATGTTGTCCCTGCAAAGGTATTTGGTCATCCATGTTGATAGGACCACCAACTTGCAAGAGGAAGCCATTAGTCCCTGCAACAAGTTAAAAAAGCACCCCAAATTTCATTACATCTCTCTTGGTTTTCTGACATGGACTGGAATGAACTTTCACAATCTCCAGTACCAATCAATCAAGACAAGACAGAAGCAGGGTTCTGCTTCATCATTATTTTTTTTTTTGGAGGATGAGATTCAATAACCCCAACAAGACCAGAATATCAGATCCAGGAGCCATTGAAAGGAAAGTGCAGTTCTGGCAACTGGTCCCAAATCAAAAGTTGGTCTTTATTTTGAACCATGTTAGCTTGTCAGCAGATGAATTGACTTCATCTCATAAATGGCCTGTTTGGACAAAGACAAAATGCTTAGAGCTGGAATTTCTGTCAAACAAAAAAGCATTTTTCCCAAGTTTGCATCAATTCTGTTTATGGTGTGTTCTGCAAATGGAGCAAACAGCAAGCCATGTTTGGACTAAATCAAAATTATGGTAGCAACTGCATCTTTGGTTAAAGTGACCTGTGACCTAAACACCCTTAACACAGAATGACCCACTTCATCCAATATTTCCCTGTACTATAATCAGTCAAGATTAAACTTCTGTCCTCAGTCTTTGTTTCTTTCACCTGCTCACACTTGAACCAGAATGAGATGTGGACTCTAAGAAATTCCCTCTTGAAAGTGCTTTGAGAAATCAGGTTCCATTTCCTATTTCCATCATCATCATCGTTGAATCCATTGTTATTTTATTACTTTGGATTTGGAATAGACATTTGTGTTATTCCTTGGGATAGATTGGATAATCCCACTTATACAGTCGTAAGTGATTCTGTGTGTACACATGCTGAAAGGGATGGTAAGTTAAAGAAAGTGATGGATAAACTAAAATCATAAAGACGCAAATTAGAAAAAGAGAAATATTTGAATTGATGGAAAGGCATTTGAAACATGACCCAAAAAAAATATGCATGAATCACCTCAAGAAGCAACCTCGAGGCACAATGCATGCAATCAGTGAGCCTTAAATATCCAAATATCACTCCCACACCTGAAGATCCCAGGTTGCCCTAACTACTCTCATCAAAGTTCCAAGTTTATGTAGTTGTTTTCATGCAGAAACCAATCTTCATGAGGTCTAATCTTTACATATTTACTTTCTGAATTTTATAAGAACAAAAGCATTCTTTGTTTCAAGAAATATTGTTTTCTGTTCAGCTTGAAATGCCATTAATTGCATTGCCGTCTTGTGCAGCAAGAGTGTTGGTGGTCGTATCAGTTTTGTTATCAGCAGCATTTATGGCAATTTCAGTTGGACGAAGATAAGGTAACCTCTTCATTGCCTCTCGAAGTCTCTGAAATATTAGATCCATTAGATACATTCAGGTAGCTACAATGAAGGAGCCAAAGTTAGGTCAATTACTATACCCTTGAATATTTTATTCTTTAAGTCATTTTTTTCCCACTAAGAGACAAAGCAATAAGTCATTCAGTTCAGCTAGCTGACACCAAACAGCTCCCAAGTACATAGTTTGGCCAATTATGATTCTTGTTAATGATAGAATGCTACAGCAATATCTGTGCCAAACTACACAGTGAATCTCAGCAACTAAGGCAAAGTGTTATTCAGACTTAGAAAGTTACAAGTACTTGCTTTGTATAAGTAATTCTCATAATTTCTGTCATGTCTCCAGTACATTTGTCATTGCACTTGTTCCATCAGCAAGCTTGCTTTTGTGATCACTAGAGTTCCTGTACATCTAAAATTTTATATTATGGATTCCCTCCACCTCCCTACAGTTTTCTTTCTTCTGGTTGGAAGCTTTCTGGTTCATTTGGTAGGAAATGCTTGCTGTTTCTACCCCAAAACTCCAATTATATTGGTTACATCTAAAATTTTATATTATGGATTCCCTACACCTCCCCACAGTTTTCTTTCTTCTGGTGGGAAAATGAAGGAAAATAAACAATTTCCAGAAAATTCTATTTTACTATAATAAGTTGCACATAAAATGGCTGTGGAAAGTGAATCCTTTCCAAAAATGAAGGGCAGTTTGCCCTAGAAGAGTGAATCCTTCCAGTAAATTAAGAGGCTTTTATTAGCTCATAGCCATAGGCAATTTGTAATCCAAACCTGCACTGTTTACAGATTTTAATTTTTTAGATAAAATTTTTCTATTCCCTTTCCTTTTAAATCCAGATTTTATCAAATGCTGCCCAAGAAACAGTTTTGTAAAATTCTTCAATTTCTTTCCAACCAAATGGTGTAAATTACCAATCTCATCTTTCATCAGCTCAGGGTCAGTGCTGACTAAACCCAAGTCTGCAACAAGTGGTTCAATTTCTTCCTTCTTCTTGCTCTCAGATCAACTGATCACAGTAACCTTCATTCCAAAAGCCTTAGCAACCTTCACAGTCAAACATTGTCCCTACATTGATTTTAACAGGTGCTACACACTAAAGGAAAATTACTGATATGGGTACATGGTACTTCTAAATTTTCTCATAAAAAAATTAATGTGAAACAGAATCCTTGGAAAAAAATCTCGAACTGAAACTTGTGTACAATAGGCCAACTGATGGTGGCTCAGTTGGTAGGTTCTCTGACTCATCAGAGTAGAGACCTGGGATCAAATCCCGCTGCCACCAGGGGTTGGGGGGGTTAAGGGAAAGGGGATGGGCTACCCCCTGTTGTGTAGCCCCATGAAGTGAAAAAAAACTTGTGTACAATAGGTCCTCTTTATATTTAACTTCTACCTTATTACTCCTAAAATGGCACTAGGTCCTCTTTATATTATTTTTCCTTCGTATTTCTATCTTTTTTAATGAAGCTAGAAATATAGATTCTTTTTATTTTTATTATTTATTTTATTTATTTAATCATTACCTAATTAGGCTATTTTTATCAATACCTAATTAGGCTTCAGACAACATATAATTCTGAAAAGCTAAGCTCCACCCCTAATAACAGTGAGAAAGAATATAAATAAGCATTCTTTTTATTTCATTCATAATTAATAATATATTGAACACAAAAATGGGATTTGTACTAGATGTAAGACTTAGTGGGCATAACTTTAGAAATATGGAAAATCAGTGCAAAGAGATTTAAGCAATATCTTTAACTGTCAAAGGAAATTGTAATCATACATTCTCGGTAATTTTCTTAGATTTAAAGCACAAGTAATTCTCTATACACTTGAGAAGATGAGAAGATGATACTGCAGTATCTCCTAAATGTTTCCACGTTGATTTTTCTTATTTTACTCAACTAATAGACAGACCTACATGGCAAGGACTAAGAAGCAACTAACTTTCAGAAGGTGCATTATCAAAGGAGAGATACATACCCCACCATATTTTCCTTGGAAAGGTCCATGAGATGGCACAATGTATGGTTGGAAATAACTAGGTACAGATGAGTTTGCATTAGGACTGACACCATATTGCTGGAAGTAAGCAGGTATTGATAGGGAGAAAAAAAGAGAGAGCCCAACTATGATAATATTTCTGGAACTCCCTGCCTCACTGTAACGCAAGTTTGACAAGCCCAATGATGCTAGCACTGCCCACATGAAGCAAAGTAGAGCAACAACCATGACATCAGGAAAAAGCAGCAAAGGGATAGGAAATGCAAGTTTTTTGAGGAATAACCTAACAGTTTAACCGTGAAAGTTCATTTAAGATTTAATGGTCAAATCAGTTCCAAACTTCCAAACATAGATGGAACTTTCCAACAGCACAACTATTCCACAACATAAACCCTTCAAATAAACCACTATAGGATCTTGAATTTCAAATCATTTGCATTCTGGGTATCAGCTATTTTTATGACAGTAACCTTCATTCCAAAAGCCTTAGCAACCTTCGCAGCCAAATGTCCGAGCCAACCTAGCCCAACAACACCCAAGTGTTGTCCATATTCTCTCAGTGCATAATATTTCATGGGGCTATACACTGTAATCCCACCACACAGCAGTAGTGTTCCACGGTCCAGTTGAGTCTAATATACTTTAATTCTTGAGTGTAGATAGATATTCAATAGCTTCATTTAAACAAAGTACCTTTATAACAGATTGGTCTAGGAATTTTCCCAACACATGTTTTCACTCTGTACGGATAAATATAAAAATTCTTGAGTCGACCAAATACTCTAGAGATCTGCAAGAACTTACTAATAGCACACAAACAGTCAGTCCTCATACTCTAAGATAAACATGATAGTGGAAGAACTTACAACCAATCAACCGGCATCATAAAAGTAGTAACCATTTAAGTTTGGTCTAGGATGCCCCCTTTACTTCTCATGCTGGCGATAGAAACAACAACAATTTCCTAAACTGTAGTTTAGGAGATTGTATATTCCCAAAGTCTGTTTCGTTTGCAGTTGGAATCTGAACCGGAATAGTATATTCCCAAAGTTTGTTTGGTTCAAACAGGCATGGGAATGAGAATTGAAGTAAGCAAGAATGGGATTTCATTCCCAATCTAGGGACAGGGAATGTGTACTGGTGCTTCCCAAAATCGGCATTGGAGGTGACAATAATAGTGCTTTCTTCCATAAGGTGACCAATGCAAGAAAGATGGTTAATTCCATAAAAAAAGGGGATTGGGAAGCAGGATAGAGAACAATGAATAAGTCATAGCAGATGCTTTGTTGATTTTTATAATTATCTTTTCAAGGAACCTTCCAAGAAAAGACAAAGGCTGTATGGTTTGAATTTCAAGTGCTTATCTCAACAGCAGAGTTTAGATTTGGAAAAACCTTTCTCATAGGAAGAAGTTAAGAAGGTTGGAGAAGAGTTGGAAGGGGGGAAAGGCACCGCGCCCAGATGGTTTCACAATTCTGTTTTACAAGAAGTTCTGGGATCTCATTAAAACAGATCTATTAAAGGTCCTGGAAGAATTTGCTGATTGTGCAGCCCTTGAGAGAAGTTTAAATACAACTTCTATCTCCCTAAGAAAGGAGCTACAGAGTTGAAGATTTCAAACCGATTAACTTGATTGGAAGTGTTTACAGGATCCTAACTAAACTTCTGGCCAACAGGTTAACAAAGGTGATGGACTCTCTATTCTCTAAGTACCAAGGGGCTTTTGTCCACAACAAGCATATTCATGATGTAGTTCTAATAGAAAATGAACCAATAGACTCAAGACTAAGAAGTGAAGAAAGTGGACTACTCTGTAAAATTGACTTAGAGAAAGCTTATGACCATGTTATTTGGTTTTTCTTGGATTATTTGCTAAACAGAGTGCACTTTGGTTCTACGTGGAGAAATTGTATGAAAGTTTGCTATTCCACTCCAAGATTTTCAGTGCTTGTAAATGGGGTAGCCATGGTAAATTTCAGCAGTTCAAGAGGTTTGAGACAGGGGGGCCCTATGTCTCCTGACTCTCTCCTCTTCTTTTTTTGTTAGTTATGGAAGGTCTAAACAAGTTGGTAGATAGGACTGTGAAGGGGGAGCTGTTGGAGGGCTTCCAAGTGAAGCCCAATGGGACTGTCATTCCAATTCTACAATTTGCTGATGATACAGTCTTCTTTTGTAAGGCTTCAGAGGAGCAATTTCAGATTCTGAAACACCTTCTTTTTTGGTTTGAGATTGTGTCAGGTCTGAAAGTAAACCTAGCAAAGAGTGAGATAATAGCAGTGGGAGAGGTCCCTAATATTCAAGGCTTGGCATATCTGTTGGGGTTCAAGGTGGGACAGCTACCATCAGTTTATTTGCGATTGCCTTTAATGACCATATGTACTTCTAAAATCTTTTGGAACCCAATAATAGAGAGAATGTATCGGAAATTGGCTACTTGGAAAGCAACGTATCTCTCCAAAGGGGTAAAGATAACTCTTATTAAAAGTGTCCTAGCAAATTAGCCAACTTACTTATTTGTGATTGCCTTTAATGACCATATGTACTTCTAAAGTCTTTTGGAACCCAATAATAGAGAGAATGTATCGGAAATTGGCTACTTGGAAAGCAACGTATCTCTCCAAAGGGGTAAAGATAACTCTTATTAAAAGTGTCCTAGCAAATTAGCAACTTACTTTATGTCCCTTTTTCCTATCCCCTTGGAGGTGGTGTAGGTTTTAGAGAGGAAGACGACAGACTTTTTGTGGGCTGGTTGGAAGGATTCACACAAATACCATCTTGTAAAATGAAGTCAGATTTGTAAGCCCCTACCTCAAGGGGGGTTGGGGATACGAAGTCTAAAATCTTCCAACCTAGCTCTGCTAGGAATGTTCTGAATTAATTATTTGATAATTATAGATAAGTGTTTTGAATTAATATTCAATATTACAGATTTCACTGTTCTAGATATTAATTTTATATCTCCTTTTTGTCCTTTAAAATCCTAATTTTGTGAAGTTCATTGTTCATCAGCTGAATTACCCAACCGATTTTGAAGATATATTGACAAGGTTAGTACCATCTTCTTCCAAGGGTTCATCGTATTAGGTTTCATTGTATTAATGTCTCTTTAGCTCCTTTACACATGTCAAGACCCCATTTCATATTGTTCGACCCTAACATGTTGCTGCATCTTTGCATTACTTTTATATATTGTTTGAATATTGTTGGCATTAGTTTTATAATGATGTTTGAATATTTGACATTCCTTGAATATTGTGATTACCCAATGGAATATGAGGCTATGGGTAACTGTAGGTTCAAGAAATAGGCCTTCAGGGACCAGTACTTGTAATATCCATTAATTAATCTTGGACCTAATAGCAATGAATTTAGTTTAGACAAAATTTGATATTCTCCTCCCCTCCCTATCCACCCACCTACAGGGGTCCACTCCTCAGAAGTGAAGAAACTTGGACTCTAACTTATGACAAAAGTGCTTCAGGCAACCCCGGTGCTACTGATATTGGAGGAGTATAAGGGATGAAAATGGGAACATTTTCTGTTTGTACATTGGGCCAATAAGCATATCTGCTTCTACCAATGCAGAAGTGATGGCTACACTTACAGGAATCCAATTAATCAACAGACTAGGAATCCAAAACCTCCCCATAGAAGGCAACTCATCATACACCATAAAATGTTTAGGAAAGCATGAGGCCAGCCTGTGGATTACTTAGCCATTTTCTAACAGAGTCAATGAATTTATTGACTGCTTCAAATGCAAACCTTTTGTGGGTTCCATGTGAATTTAATGCTCTTGCAGATCAGTTAGCAAAATTAGGTGCTCTTTTAGAAGATTTGTACTATGATAAGATTCCTCCTGTGTACTTTCTATGGGTCTGATCCATATTTTGTTTTAGTTTTGTACACCTTGTATACCTCTCTCTTTTCTTAATGAATTCAGTCAGCTTTTCTGAAAAAAAAGGGAGGCTGCAATCCCTAAATTACTAACAAAGCTACATAGAAACCCAAAACAATTGTTTCCTTAATACTCATTGTTTGGCAATTGAATCAGCCATCCCATTTGCATTCCTAACCCACTTAAATTCAGCATTCATCACCTTAGCAATAATTTCTAATTCCCTTAAGGTATGTTGAGAAGTCGACAGAGTAATTCTATTACAGTTTGCCATTTGGATAATCAGCTTTGAGTCACCTTCCACTTCAACCTATCTACATCCTAACTGTTTGGTTAACCGAAGCCCTTGCAATAATGCCATAAGTTCTGCTTTCAAAGAGTTTCCCCATCCCAATTGGCCCTGAGTACAGATATCTTGCTTCTAGAGTTCCAGAACACACCTCCTATACCTGCCATACCTGGATTTCCCAAATACTTGCATCAAATCTCAGTTTTACCTTGTTCCCTTCTGGAGGTTTCCACTCTAACCTCATTCTATCTTTTATTTTTATCAGCTAACCTTATCCTATCTTACTCTCTAGAATACTGGGCTACCTCGGTCTAAGCTCTTATTATCTCATTTACATTGTAGATTTGAAAGCTTTCATTGTTTTTACTCAATGTGCAATTTCAAGCTTTACCTTTATGCTATCTTTTATCAATTTTTTTAATATAAATAAAGAAAAAAAATTATTAGTAAAAAAATATAAAAAAAGTGTTTACAGCTCATTGGTGACACTAGATCATCCCCAATAAACAGAAAAACATAACAGATTTACAACCAAAATACATCAGAAAAGCATAACTTAAGCATTCAAGGAGCTCCAAAAGCCTGCCCCAAATTCATCTTCTTTAGTCCTTGAAATTCTGCCAGGATTAACACCGAACCTATGACTGAAGAACTGATTTGACCCACCACCTCTTCCCAATGTTTTTCCTAGTTCTCAGAGATTCTTTATTTCTCTCCTTCCAAACTTCCCAACACACTACGAAATTAATACAACTCCACATAATCTTGACCTTACAACCACTCTGAACTTTAGGCCAACATCCAAAGTTTTCAGCCTGAGCTGATTTTGACCACCATTCCCTCTTAAACAACTATAAAAACTAAGACCATATTCAGGAAACGAAGCTAGACCTGTAGCACTAATGCAATATGTTTCCTTCTCCAGATAGACAAATGACGAATGTGCTTGGGAATTTAAAGCATCGGCTCTTAATGTTGTCTTGAGTCAGGATACACCCCTTGGCCCGCAGCCATGCAAAGACCACCACTTTTCGTTGCACATGTTTCCCTCAACTGGATCAGCTTCAACCATATTTCTGATCTGAATTAATTACATTGACTTGTCTGTAAATTTCCCAACCTTGTACTCCTTCGACCACCTACTATCATCAATTGACGGATTGATCTCCAATGACTGCAATTTGGATAGTAGCTACACGCATTCCTCCAACCCCCAGTCAAGTAAAGTTCTTCTGATGTTTGGAGTCCATTCCACAGTACCATATGAGACTTCATCACAATCCAAAATATGTACACCCTTCTGACCCATTCTGTACCACCTTGGATAGATTTCACAGAACCTCCATAAACAAGACAAGTCATCCTCCCAGAATCTAATGCTGGACCGATTCCCCACTCTGAGGAACCATTAAAGAATTAAAACTCATTATTCCTTTCCACACACATACCCCATAACAGTATCTTACTTCCTTTGAATCCCACCCAAAATTCACAATCCCATATTTCCCAACCAATACTCTCCTCCATAAAGCCTCCCTCTCTCAACTAAACCTCCACACCCACTTTCCCAACAATTCTTTGTTAAAGACCCCCACCCTTCGCACCCTAATACCCCCTTCTTTATTAGGCTAGCACAGAACCGACCACTTAAGTAAATGCACTTTCTTTCGTTCATCCCTCCCACTCCACAAAAACCCCCCTTTCGATTATTTCTTTCTCCCCCAACACTGTCATTAGAGCCTCGAATAAAGATACGTAATAAGACAGCAAGTTGGAAAGGACACTCTCTATCAATGTAATTTTTCCAAGCAAAAGAAAGGAATTTTCCACACAAACCATTAAATTTTCACCGAATGCATATTGATCTTTTATCCAAAATTTGTCAATGACTTCGGTTATTTCTTATCTTCATGTTCAATGTATTTAATGTATTCAATAATATGCAGATATTCTTATACAAAGACAACATCTACTGTGCTGTTATGGTTCTACCAGAAGGTTTATTCATAAAACATAATCTATAATATTATATAATAGTAACATTCATAAACATCCGTTAATAATTAATCTAACAAATTTTTCAGAAGAGAGACGTGCACGAAGACGCGAGTATGAGAGAAGAAGATATGCACGTCAAGTAGAAAAAAGAAGGGAGAAGTACAAATCAGCCCAGCTCAGAATTTACTAGGCCCAAAGTACATGGGGAATGCATCCTGACCGTGAATTGATGCCAAATTCACGGGCAGGATGTGGTTTATAGGGGGGACAGGGCTAGTTGTAGGGGGGGCTGGAATTCAGAATTCTGTGTTTCCGTACTTTTCCCAAAAAAGAAAGGTACAAGGTAAAGAAAATGTGTATCCAAATAAAAGGAAAAAGAAGAGTTTGATTGCAGAAATAGAAGATCAAGAAGATAGTATTGACTACAACTTTCTTCAAGGTTATAATCTCACTTACTAGATAACTCATTCATTATTCATATTTATATAAAAATTTAAAATTATCAATAACATAATTGATATGTAGGTGAGTCTTCTACTGCTCCCATTACAAAAAACACACATGAATTAGAGAAAGTTCCAACATGCAACTTTTGTAGTGCTATGCGATTTAAATATGAGCCCTCAAGTTTCTGTTGCTAGAGTGGTCAATTCTACTTACCTTCAACTCCTATCCCAAGTGATTTATACAGGCTATACACCTCAGCGGATGATGATGCCATTGAATTCCGAACAACATTAGAGCATATAACAGTATATTCTCCTTCACATCATTTGGAGTGCACCTAGATAAAGAATTGGCCACCTCCAATATAGGTGTTTACACCTTTCGAGCTCAAGGTCAAATTTATCATGACCTACCACCAATTACAGCCACGAAGAATACCCCATGCTTCTATGACACAGAAAATGAAGTGGCAAATAGAATGAGTAAAGTTGGTGCCAAAGAGCTGAATAAGGAAACAATTGAGAAGCTGATAACAATATTATCTATGAATTCATACTCGCAGTTCTTTCGAAATCTCAGAGATGTTGAACATTTAGAGAAGTATGAAATATGCATAAGAAGTGATGTGAAATTAGATCAAAGAGTGTACAATGCACCATGATTTTTAAAACCGAACCGGTGACCAAACCAGTTAGGGGTCCAGTTATCAGTTCAAACAGTCCAACTATTCGACCCGAATGGCCGACCCGTTCTGACCAAAAAAATAATAAAAATTGGAAAATGGTCAAAATCGCTCGAACGGTTCGAATAGTTCGAACAGTTAACCGGTCGATTCAGCGGTTTGCTGACCAAAATCAACGGTTTTGGGGGAAAAAGCGGTTTTGGAGGAAAACGGAACCAGTCATCCTGGTTTTTCTGGTCCGACCATCCGGTCCGGTCCAGTTTTGAAAACAGTGAAATGCACCAACTGCAGATCAAGTCGCAGCTATATGGATTGAGGGAAGTAATCCAAATGGATCATAGGAAAGAGACATTATTGTACAAGCACATTTAGGAAATAGTTACAGGGTTAAGCATTACTATGGATGTTATGATCCATTACAGTATCCCCTATTATTCCCACGAGGAGAAGTTGGATGGCATCCAAACATTCCTAAGTTACATGCTTCCCAAAATGTTCCTGTACGGAGGCATCGAAAAAGAAGATCAACAGAATACAATTCTATTGGAAATATTCTAGACCAAGAAGAAGGTAACTATTGAAGTTGAAAGTATGTTTTTGTATTACAAATTCCAAATTCTTAAGAACTTTACACCCATCTTTCATGTACAGATGCCATAAGTAGAGAAAATCCATCAACTGTATCCTATAGACAATACTATAGCAACCTCCTACAAATAAGGAATGTCAATACTTCAATAATTCTCCTCGCAAAG